ATATAACCCAATTAGACATGCACCGATTTATAGTCGATGTTATGGCATTCAGCAAAGTCGTTCCGAATCAGTTATAAAAAAGCGCAGAGAGCTGTCGAATGTCTCATTATGTAGAAAACTGTGTGCTCTACCAAACCGAAGTGCCAGAAAGATTTTAATGTTATATATAGAGAAAATATGATAAATCGAAAACGCACTAAAATCGATAGTCGATTATTTTTCGCAATTTTGCTCAGTTTTGGATACTTATAGTTCTATCACAGATAGCACTAAAATTTTTCTGACACTTCGGTTTGGTAGGGCACACAGTTTTCTACATAATAATACATTCGGCAGCTCCCTGCGCTTTTTAATAACTGATTCGAAACGACTTTGCTGAATGCCTTTTAACATCGATTATAAATCGGTGCATGCCTAATCTCGATAGGGACACATTTTTATACCATTAGAGAGTTCATAAATCAAAGTATATTTGCCACTATTTGAATCTTGAAAAGACACACTTTCAATTTTCCACCAAATATTCGACTGTATGTGTCTGCGAAGACGATCTCATTCGATCAGCATGATGTTTAGTAGGAATCTCAAAATGATCCGAGTTTTGAGGTTTCGACTCACCTTAGTGACTCGTTCAAAATAGTAGACAAGTGACTAGATCCAATAAGATTCATCTAAGGTTTGATTTTTGAGTAGTCGATTGTGGAATAGTTTTTCTGTTTTCTCAATGAAATAAAAATCTCTTTCATAAATGTCAAATGTATATGTATTTTATTTACTTTTATGTTCGTCAAGGTAAAGAAAATAAAATAAAACAAGTAAATAAAATTGATTGGTCATTATTAAAAAATCATTCAAATCGTTCACTATTAGAATTAAATAAAAAATTAATAAAATTTCGTCGTCGTTCTAATGCACTACGATCTGATAATATTGAAATATTTCATGAAAATCTCGATAATAAATTATTTGCCTATACACGTTGGACAGAGAATGATAAACGTGTTGTTGTTGTATTAAACTTTTCAAAAGATCAACACCATGGTTACAAAGTTACACACTGGCCCAGCCCTGGTAAATGGCGTGAAATAATACAGGATTCTGAAATAAATGTACCAGAAGATGGACCAATATTAAATTTAATGGATTATGATGGAAAAATATTT